TTCTGCACATGCGCAAGGATTCACTGCGCTTCAGGTATGCAACCAGCATGACACAGAAATCACCGTAAGAATTATTGGCAAATACCTTGTGTTAATATACATGTGCTGTATTAGTGTGTTTCACTAATGCAGACCTAACATTCAAATATACGAGCCTATGGGGGCCATTCTCATTCAAGCCACCCACCCCGACCTTTTTGAGGTATAATTTCAGGTTTTATTGAGGCATAAAAACTATCGTATTTGGGGGCCTGGCGATCTGCCTCAGTGATGGAACACAAGCCTGGAATGCTTGAAAGCCCAGGCCTCAATCAGCAGCACTTAAAAAATGTGGTTGTACATGGTTGATACATATATTCACTGTGAAATGATTACACAAGCCAATTAACATAGCCATCATTTCTACCTGCCTGTACATGGTGTGTGTGTGTGTGTGTGTGTGTGTGTGTGTGTGTGTGTGTGTGTGTGTAGAATATTACCCTCCCACCAACAGTAAGGAGTAAGGGCTCCTTTTTAGATATCTTTCCCAGCATTTGATGTGTGTGTGTTTCTTGATAACCCTTTTGATTAGGATGAGATAGAATCATAAAATGGTTTTTGATTTTCCTTTTCCTGCTGGCCAAGGATGTTGAACACTTTTAAAATTATCGATCGGCCATTTGTATTACTTCTTTTGAGGACTCCATTCAGTTCCTTGGCCCATTTATTGCTGATCAGTTTTGTATTTTGTGTTTAATTTTTTTCAGTTCACGGTGTATTCTAGATATTAGTTCCCTGTTTAAAGTAAAGATTTTTCTCCATTCTGTATGCTGTTTACTGATAGTTTCCCTGCCAAACAGAAATGTTATAATTTCATATAGTTCTGCTTGCCAGCTCTTGAGACTGTGGTCCCATGCTATAGGAGTTCTGTTCAGAAAGGTTCTACCAGTAACTATCTTGAAATGATTTCTCTCTGTGAAATTATTTTTCTCTAACAGTTTTGGTGTTTCTGGACTCAAATTAAGGTCTTTGATTCATTTGAATTTTATGTGAGAAGAAAAATATGGATCTAGTTATGATTTTTTAAAAAAGTGTCTAGATCAGAAACAATTATAGCTTAAAAGCAACACTGATGTCAGTTTCCTCTGTTCTTCTTCCCTGGGGGCAATGTGAGGAGATCCAAGACAGACCCTGAACATGCAGAGAGAAATTCCTGTTTGTTTTACACAGTGAAGGGACTGAGTGTCATGGGTCTGACAGGGTATATAAATGATGCTCCTGCCTCCATCTCCTGAGGAGCCAATGTTCCCTTGTTACAGTATACCCTTACAACCCCCTTCTCCCATCCACCTCTCCTTCTTTTCAGGAAGGAGAGGCCTCCATGCTGCAGCAATGATTCTGTTTCAGCATTCACAACTGATGCGTGTAGTCTGAAGAGGCCCATTTGCCCAATTATTCCCCAGAATATCCAAAAAAAAAAAAAACTGTCTGAACTTCTCTTCATTCTTTTCTTCTCTGAAATGACTTTCTTTATCTTATAAAATATGTACTTGGAAATTTGGGGTTCTATTTTTAAGATGGTATTTTTTCCTCAAATACTTAAATAACTCTACTAATGGGTTAAGACATACGGCCCATTACAAAACTCTGAATCACAGATGAGGCCTCATGTAATTTAGTAGCCTGGTATAGACCCTTCATTCTCTCATCTGTTTCATATTTCAAACATCTGTTTAAAAACTACAAGTTTAGTTATATCCTCTAACCAAGGACCATGCATAGAGAGGACCTAGACGCCCTGCTCAGAGGAAGCCCATAGATTCAGTCTCCAAGTGTATTCCCTAGTAATGGGAACATGGGCTGTCTCTGTCATGAACTCAGTGGCTGGCTCTTTGATCACCTCCCCCTGGAGGGTGCAGCCTTGCCAGCCCACAGAGGAAGTCAATGCAGCTATTCCTGATGAGACCTGATAAACTAGGGTCAGATAGAAGGGTAAGAGGACCTCCCCTATCAGTGGACTTGGGGAGGGGCATGTGTGAAGAAGGGGGAGGGAAGGTGGGATTGGGAGGGGAGGAGGTAGGGGTTTATGGGGGGATACAAAGTGAATAAAGTGTAATTAATAAAAGTTAAAAAAAAGAAAGAGACCAAGTGTGGTACAAATGCTTGTAACTCCAGCTCTCCTGGAGGCTGAAGCAAAATGATCACAAAGCTTAAGCTACAAAGCAAGACTTTGAGACAAAATAAAAATGAAAACCTTTAAAGGGCCTGAATGTGGCTAAGAAGCAGGGTGCTCGCCTGTGTGGGGCCCTGTGTTCAGTTTGCCGCACTGCAAAATAAACCAAAAACGGGCTGTTGTGCTTATGGCCTTGGTTGCATGGGAGACCCAGCCTCAAAGAACCCAGGGTGGGTGTAGCTCAGCTGCATTGCTTGCCCTGCATGCACCAGGCTCTGGGTGTGAGTCCTAGTACCACCTGACTAACTAAATAAAAGAAAACGTTAAGGGACAAAGGATAAAACTTAAATGTGTTTCTATCAATATGCAATTTCTTTTAACAACCAAGAAAACCCTGTGTCAATGAGTAACACTAATAAGGAACTATAAATATTTCTTGAACAGGGAGGTCTTAGAGAGAACATTAAATGATGAACCCAAACATCTTTCAGCTGAGCTTATAGTGGTGGATTTTATTAAATAAGGCTGGAGGTGAAAAAGAGGTTAGGTGAATTGCATTCTCATAGACATGGACCAATGTGAGAAATTGCTTAGACCAGTGGCTGTGGGAATCTACCTGATTTAGTCAGACCCTCTTTTCTATTTCTACAGTCCCGTGTCTGTGCACTAGGCTGAATTCTGTCAGCACAAGGATTTAGCAGAGGCGATTACACTACAGGAAAAGGTTTATACTTTGAATGTTCTAGCTCTTAGTCTTCCTTGACTATGGAATAGAACTAATTGTTAAAACAAAAACTGTTATTCGGGTTAAAAGAACATTTTATTGGTATATTCTTTTAAGAAGCAACTCATAACTAGCATTTTAATATGAAGATTTTAATTTATCCTTCTCTCACACAATACATCCCAATCACAGTCTCCCCTCCCTCCACTTTATTTTTTAAATGTCAGTCTGATTAGGCTGCTTGGATGTTTAAAAGTCTCCAGTCACTTCTTAGCATTTCTTGCGGTGGCAATCTCACAGTCCAGCTGCCTCTCCCACTTCATGCCCGACAAGGTGCTCCTCCAGCCCCCCGCCTCCCAGGTCTGCTAAGTTATTTTCAGCTGCTTAAATGTGCCGTCTTTTCCCTCAGCACAGCTACTTGGCTAGCTTGAAAGTTGCTTCCTTTGCCTCCCTGAGGTTGCCTAGGTGACTCATAATCAACTGGCTAGATGTAAGGTCACTTTCTCACACAAGACCCCTGAGAATGAATCATATCCCCGAGTCTACACTTTCTCTCGATGGAAATTATCATCATCGACTGGCTGTGGTGTTAAAACCTACAGTCCCAGGACCCACCCCACCTGCTGGGGCAGAAGGACCCCTCATTCAGGGAGAGCCTGCTCTTGTCTCAGAAGCACCAAGGGCTGGGGATGTATGTCAGTGGTAGGATGCCTGCCTGCTATGTTCAGGTCCTGGATCCAACTGACAGCATCACAAAGAAAGTCATCACTAAGCAACTTACAGGATAACGGCGGGTAAATGCCTTGTGTTCATCTTGGTCTTTGGGGCAGGGTCTTCAGCATTTTGCCCTCAAATCTTCGTGCGATGCCTCACACACACTAAGGACTTGGGAAGAATGAACCAGGTGTGGTACATACTATGGACACTGCACCCACCAGACTGAAGCCGAAAGTTTGAGGTTAGCCTAGGCTACGTAGTGGGGCTCTATCTTAGAAACAAAAAAGAGGAAGAAAGAAAGAAAGAGAGAGAGAGAGAGAGAAAGAAAAAGAGAAAGAGAGAGAAAGAAAGAAAGAGAGAGAAAGAAAGAAAGAAAGAAAGAAAGAAAGAAAGAAAGAAAGAAAGAAAGAAAGAAA